AAATAAAATTTTAAATTAAAAAGTACTTGGTTTTCAGCTCCCAGTTGTCACTATACCTATTAGCATATTTTGGTTTTGTCTCATGGGGAGCCTTGAAAATGATACCATTTTTAAGCTTTTTAGTAAAATGAATTTATTATTTCATTAAACTTAATCGCTGCCATTATAGAAAAGGCACACCAATTTTAATGTTCTAAACAAAATTTAAGATAAAAATCACAGCTTCCAAAACAAAACATTTTTTTTAGGTCTTTGCCACATTGATATTAATTAGTACAGATGGTTGAGAATTACCTACTAATGGTTTTTTTCTTTTGACATTTCCTTTGACAGGTGGTGGAAGATGGATATGAATTTTTTGCTAAACGACAATTGGTAACCCTATTTTCAGCCCCAAATTACTGTGGCGAGTTTGATAATGCTGGTGGAATGATGAGTGTGGATGAAACTTTGATGTGTTCGTTTCAGGTATGATATAAATTTGTAAGGGCTAGAAATCTAATTAAAACTGTTGTCAGAAGAAGCTTTCTTATAGATTTGTGATCTTTCCTTGGTATATATCAAATATGATGGTTTTAGGGAACTTAAGTTAATGTCAGTCATTCTTGATTTAGATGTTTAAATTGTAAAATTCCCCTGTGGCCTGTGGGATAGTGGCTTGCTTGCTAAAAAGAATGTGAACACAATGAGTAATTTAAGAGTTTTGTTTTCTTTTGCAAGGTGAATAGGTGGAGCAGACAATGGTGAGAGAGAAAATTATAAATGCAGATGAAAATAAAGTAGAATACCTAAGAAACAAACTTTCAGAATAATAGAAAGATTTACATTTTTTGAAGAGGCCAGCTGTAGCTTTAGTATGTTGCTTACAAATCATTCTTGTTCACTGAGTAAAACAGCTTTGATACTTTGTTTTTGCAAAGGTTATTCTATATCCTTGATGTGCACACACTACATTTCTCTTTTTAAATATAGTGGGGCTTTCCTATCCCTCTTTGCCTTTGTTGTATTATACCATTTCCATCAACTAGTACAATAAAATGACAAATGTGATTTTTCATTTACAATTTAAAGAAAGTAACGAGGCCGTTTCCTTTTCCTTTAGTTGTTATGGTGGACTTGGATTAATTTTTCTTTTCACTGAGGCATTATGATGCTCTGAATAGTTTTCAGAAATACTTCTTAAATCTTTTTACACATTTTTCTTGTAAAATCATGACATTTTCTGTCTATCATGTAGGTTAAAACTCTGCTTACACTCACCAGAATGAGTATAATAAAAAGACAGTAACAAGTGTTGAC